CCATCATAATATATCAATAAAAATATAATATTTCCATCATAATATATGCACCGTCATGCATTACAGTTGGCTTTCTATTGTTTAATGTGGAAAGTGAGTTTATCTTCTTCACATGAATAAATCCTGTCAATCTTAAACATATATGTCACTTTTTTGTTATTTTCTAAAGAGTTCAACAAACTCTGGAGTTACAGCAAAGTGAAGTTTAAATAAGCAATATCACAGCAGTGGATAGTTTTAACAGATTCAATGATATTTTAATCCTACTTTTTCCCCAAACAATGATAATTTTTAATGAACATGTTTTTAAGGCATATTTTAAGACATTTTAGACTTGTAGAAATTTTTAATACAAATCCCAGTGTGTGATGGACTTACGACCTGTCCAGGGTCGCACCAGTGACCCTAGTGACCCGGAAAGACTAAAGCAGGTTAAAGATAATGGGTAGATTTTTATTTTATTTTATTTGAAAGCTATTAAAACTTACTTTTAAATACATTCTCTTAACTGTAAGTGTTTATATATTTTAGGATTTCCCTCAGTTGTATTTGTTCTTTCACATCAAACAAAGTTAAACTAGTGGATCAGATTTGTTTCTGTCTCTTTTTGTTTTTCCGGCTGTTTTCTGCAGACGATTGTGAGAAACTGCTTCATCATCAAAAGGGAGTTTCTAACAGACTTGATAAGAATATTAACTTAGACAGAGGGTGCCTCCCTGCTTTACTATTCCAGGGGAGGATGGTTTCGTGCTGCTGATAGTGGCATTAAAGTTGCATTTTGTTTTACTCCTCAGACTGATAGGCAGGACAGTCACTCCTCGCCCTCTCTGAGACCTCTTCGTTCACACTCACAGAGATGCCCAAGAAAAACATGAGCTCCGAGGCCTCGCCGTCTCCTTTTATCATACCGGCACGTCCAACACATACTCCCGTACTCTGTATCTTTCACCAAAAAACAGCAGTGATCATCTTATTCAGATCACACATTACTCTTTTTAAATACTGATCAAAGTCTTCTTGATGAAAAAGACCAAACTGCGTGTTAAAAGTCCAGTTGTAAAAGTTAGATATTAGTCATTTCATTCACTTTACGTGTACCGTCCTGTCTTTGGAGGGTATTGTCAAACACAATGAAAACAAAAATGCTGCTTCATATTAATTTTGGCAGCAAAAGCCTTCAGAATAAGAGTTCACTTTGCTACAGTTGCATGATGCAAAATATATATGTGCCCATTGTGCATCTAAAACATCCAGAAATCTCAAAGTAAAATTAAATTCCTTCAAATTCTGGAAAAACCTGTTTAAACAGATTTATTTATTTATTTTATTTACCCTTTATTTATACAGGTAGTCTCATTGAGTCTCGAGAACTCATTTTCAAGAGACCTGTTGGGAGCAGATGGTGGGGGTTGCTCAAGGGCCCAGAGTGGGGCAAATGAGGGTGGAGGCAGGTGTGGGTGTTTGACCTTTTCCACCCACATTTTGATGTTGTCAGTCCGGAGAGTTGAACCTGCGACTTTCCGATCACAGGCCCATCTTCTCTTACCTCTGCGCCACCACTCCCTAAACTCCCCAGCATTCCTCTTTTTTTTTAAACTTTTATTTATGATTATTGTGAATTTGATTCTACTGACACTTTATAGAAATGAGCGGCATTAAATTGTAAGAGTTGTGTAAGGATTGAATTTGTTTTTAACTATTTATTTTAAAATCCAAGGTCTGTCAGTGAGAATAAATGATGTTTGTAACGTTAAAGCCCATGAGGTGACATTGATGCTGAGCAGAGCGTAAAGGGTTAAATACATTCAGACAAAGGATGTCTTCCTCAACACAAGGTCATTCTGATCATAGAATAGTAGTAGTGTCTGTGTGGAATGTGGGTCAACGACTGAAACCATTTGCCACAGTATGAACCAAATCCAGAAGGCAACATGGTGATGAGACAAGGATGCCGGATTGAAACCCGGCTAGGCACCTTTCTTGGTAGAGTTTGCATGTTCTCTCAGTGCATTCATTCGTTTTCTCCGGGACCAAAAACATGCATGTTAGGCTGATTGATCACTCTAAATTGTCTCTAGGTGTGAATGAGAGAGTGAATGGTTGTTTGTCTCGTTTGTCTCCGTGTCCCTGTGATGGACTGAGGCCTGTCCAGGGTGTCCCCTGCCTCTTGCACAGTGACTGCTGGACATGGGCACCAGTGACCTGGAAAGGAAGAAGTGGGTAAAAGATACTGGATGGATGGAACAGATCCAAAATGGAGGCTCCAAGCTGTTGAGCAGCTGTGAATATCGTAACACTTTCAACTGTTGGTGCTGAACAGAAGTAGCTCTCTGTGCAGGAATGATCGTCATCTTTGCATCAAAGTTTGAAACAACCTGTTAGCACTTAAAGCTAACAGTCAGAGGGGATGACTTTCAGCTTCTAGTTTTGTCAAGTCAAGGTTCTTTATTGTCATTCACACCACATGTGGTAAATGTGGTGGAACGAAATTGTGTACACAGGGTCCCAGACTTACATCCAACAAAAGTATAAATTGTAAAGAAAAACAGTATTAAGACCTAAGATATGAACTCAAAAATACGCTAAACTAAGAATACACTAAGCACTAGTAGTACAAAAACAATATGCCGAACAACAGCAGCATGAACATGAGTGTGTGAGCAGATGAGTATGAATGAACACAGCAGCATGAAATAAATCAGCAGCATGAAATAAATCAGCAGCATGGATAGTCAGCAGCACATATCAACAATCAAAGTGGCATTACAGTGATTATTCTGGTTAGGGATTCAGTCTAACAGATTCAGGGTAGAAGCTGTTCCTCAGTCTAGTGGTTCTACACTTAATGCTCCTCAACCTCCTGCCTGAGTGGAGCAGGGTAAAAAATGTGTGTGCTGGGTGAGTGAGGTCCTTCATGATGCAGGTGGCCCTCTTCCTACATCTGGAGGTGTATAAAATGTGTTTTCACAGTATCTGTAAAATTAACTGAGTTACAGCAGTGTGTGTGCTCTCTAAGGTCAGTTTGCTGTGGAGGCCATCTTTGACTGAGTTGACTCCAAACGTTAATCAGTTGTAGGAGCAGAGTTTCATTAAAACCTGTCAAATGGCTCATGGGATACTCTGACAAATGAACTCCCACACAGTCACAGGCAATTATATAATTGCCCATCTTTGATAGCAGAGGGTGCTGATGATGGAGCAGAGAGCTCAGCACTGAAGCAAAAGAAGGAATTTAGTTTTTGTCTCATATCCATTGTGCAACTTTCTAAATGGATGTAAAAAACAACAACAACTGGATAAACGGTTGAACAGGGTTACTCGTTATTCAGCTAAATTAAATTGATGTTTGGGGGAGCTCAGTTTTCTGTTGTAGGTGCCATGACACAGCTCTGTCTGTCCATAAGATGTAACCATGGTTTACTGGTAACGTTCTTGTATTTTAGTGTCAGTTTTAGAAATGTCCCCTTCACACTCCTCTACAACCTCAGATGCTATCCCAGTGAACAAATGCCAGCTCATGGCACTCCCATCTATTTCACCCTGTCTGCTGCTTATTCTGACTTGCAGCCTTTCTAATTTGGTGATGAGCTGTAAAGTGACCTGCCTGCCCCAGTTTGAACAGGAGTGGGATTCCAGGGATGGACGACACTGTATACGCCTCGCACCCCAACCCTGTCACCTTCGTCTGCTCCCTCGACAGCCACATGAGGAGACCAAGGCACCTGCTCCCGGGGGCACCCTGCACCTGTTCCACTCATAAGTAAAGTGAGATGCCAGGAATAATTGATGGGCGATATAGGTGATGGTGGTATCAGTCCATGCAGGGCAGGAGACATTTTCTCAAACCTCCTGCTGAGGGGTTACTGTCCTGCCACTTCCATTAACACTAATTGGTTTAAATTCACTGCAGATCTCAACTGAGACTGACCCCCATCATGTTAGTCATTAGGTGCTCATGTTTATGAGCATCAGCATTAGTGAAGTGTCATTAGTGTCATAATTCAAGAATAATAAGAAGTTTATCAGTGATGGTCCCAGTGACTGCTCTTCTCCATTTCCAGCCTTTAGGGTTTCTTAGACTAAGATTGTTTAGTTTTCAAACTTTCTTCATGCTCTGTTCACTCTCCCAGTCAGCCACCTGTACTGTATTGTTACTTTCTTCTTTTTGAGTTAGGGAGAATTGGCTGACTCTAATCCACGTCCACAGAATAGGTTTAAAATACTCTGGTTTCATCTAATCTTCCAGCTCAGACCAAGCCGAGCTTAAAAGTTGCTTTCTCCATGATAGGAATGAACAAATAAAGGTCTCTTCCAGCCCTCCATGAAAGGACTCTGTGTGCTCTGTGGATTATAGCCCAGTGTTTTCTCTGTCTCTGTTTCTCAATTAGTCCAGTGAGAGGAAGAAAAAAAAGACTACCTCGTTTGTGTAGTATTGTATGGATATGAAAGTTTATACTCATTTTTTATGTTATCTTTCTTTCTTTTTTTCTTTCTGGAAAAGGTATTTTCTCTGATTTTCACTGAATAATATTTGTTCTCTGACATATAAGTCTAATTATAATTTAATTTAACAATCTATATTTTAACTTGTGGTTGATATGTTAAATTATTATTACTGAAAAGTAACAAGCGCCGATAGAAATTATATTTTTGTTCAGGCACATTCGTGGACAGCTCATCGCCTGTAAACAGAGAGGTCCTTCTCACGAAGTTTCCCCTGACAACTTTGAAAGCGCCGCTGTTTCTCCTGACATGGTATTTTATGAACATTTAATAAAGCCCCGTCTTCTTTTTCTGTCAGTAACAGTGACACATTTGGTGAAAATGCCTGTTGTGTAACGAGAGTCGTCTTTCAGATGTAGCTGCTGTAATTATTAGCTTGTTTTACTGTTAGCCAGGTCTTTGTAACCTCAGGAGATTTCTAAATCTAAGTATTGTAGAAATGTGTTTGATGCTACGTCAGGTTATGTTTTTGTTTGACTGCAAAATGTCAGTGAACGCCTTTCAGGTGAGCTCTCATTCAGCTCTGAACAGATTAGTGCACCAGACTCCATTCAAAACTGGGGCTTTTTTACAACCGGCTGCTTGTTCGTCCTTAAATCTCGGTTACTCATTTTGGTGAATTTCATGCCCCGTCCCTAAACGCACCACGTCCCTCCTGGACCACAGACCCTGATCAGATCTTACCGGTTTTTGTTTGTTAGATATTACTCTCATCTCGTATCAAACAGCAAACCGACTTTTCAGTTTTTGAACAATGTTGTTTAAATAACCATTTATTTAAACAACAAAGTCCAGGCTCAATAATCCAGGTATACAATCCAACATGTTTCAGTCAGGTCATCTGGACAGTTATTTAAACTTTTATCTTGTGACTGCTCTGCTGCTGTTATTAGGAAAGAAAGATGTTTGAGCAGGATGTGTCCAAATTATAGAGTTAGGATAAATTATAAAGAAAAAAATCCTATTTTGTAAGTTTTATATCAGTTAAAGGCTTTTTTAATGTTAGGTTAGGAACTAATGAAGAATCTATCTGATTTGCGTACATGGAAAAAGTTAAGCATTGACGTATGAAATGTTGAGATGTTCTGGATTAATTTTCCCTATAAACTATTTAAAACGAATAATAATGCATTTGCTAATTAACTTAACATAATTACAATACATTTAATTAGCTTGAATTCTTTTTTGTTTTCTTTTTATCAAAATGAGCAATTCAGATTTTGCACCGAGTTGCATAAATTGCAGAAAGACATAATGTAGCCAAATAAAGAATCGATTTAAAATTAATATATATATAAAAAACTTTTTATATAAAAGTAACAAGCTAAAATGATTGCAATTTCTAAATGGATTCTGAATGTTTTTAACTATAATTATGTTTGGATCAACATCAGCACCATACTCCTAATATCTTACAGATGGATGGCTGAAGCAGATGAACCATGCTGCGTAATTTCTTCCATGTGACTGTAGATTACTAGCTGAACTCTCAGTAATCTGTTCACTTTGTACAAATAGTTTAAACACACAAACTTCCATTGTTCTTTGCTTAGTCAGCACGCAGTCACTCATAACTCCACAAACATTTCTGACAGCTGGACTAGTGGGGGACAGGGGTGTTTGACAAACTGTTTTCCTGTGTACCTTATCCCATGTTGCATCATGTCTTATTGAGATTACCGCACAATAAACATTTACTTGTCTTGAAGTATTTGCTGTATTGACAGCAAGATCCTCACATATCCAAAGGCCATCACGCCCAAAACGTGTGCTGATGTATGATGACACTCGAGCTGTCAGCCCTCTTGTGTCTCTTTGTGCTGTAGTGGCCAGGTAAATGACCTCATGGAGGAAATGGGTGATAATGTAAACAGATAAGGCTCCTGATACCTGTTGACCACAGTCAGAACCTCCTAAATCAGGACCTCCTGTCACAGTGCTCCATCAGTGCCTGCTTCAGTGACACCCACAAGGCATTGAGTCCTTATCTGCTATGGACCCTGCTTAGCATTCACGCCATTCATGCGAACAATGCTACCTCTTCCCGCTCATTGGGCCTGTGACTGACAGTGGGTGTTGGTGCACTTGTGTCTGACTTCAGCCTCTATCTGCCACTGAGCTGTTTGTCCAGCCCAGATACCCCCGTCAAGACACAATAAAGGGCGTGTGTCTTCCTTGCCACTTCCCATGATGTTTTTCTAACTGAACTTTTATAATGGGCTTTGCTCTTTATTTGGCACTTTGGTTTCCTCCTCAAGAGGACTTTGTATTAGATGGGGGAGGAAGAAGGGCTGACTAAGTTATAGTTCACCATCCACCGAGCAGCCAGTGAGGTGGAAACGCCATCATGGCCAGACAGTGAAAAGAACCGAGGCAGCAGAGAAGACTGTTGCTTTTGATAAACAACAAAATGACTAAAAGCTGAGGTAGGATGTGACAGCCAAAGATTGAAATGTGATTTGAAAAGAGTTTTGACTTAGATGTGCCAGAAAATGTGTGCTTGATTGTAAATGCTGATGTTTTATTGGAAGCATATCTAGGATGAAGCTTGTGTGTTATCTACTTTGGAAGTTTTATAATCACCCCGTGAAGCAGAGTTATTATTGAGCTTTCATAATACACCCCTGTGATCAGCATATCCCTCCCTCCCCCGCCCCTTTTTATGAATGGCAGAATTTGACAAGGGGGCAGTTCAGGTTCGGGTGCCATTGATCACCTGATATCAGGTCGAAAAGGGAGGAATGCGGACAGATAATCCCTCCCCCAGCTCTTTCCAAACGAACACAAAAAAACTTTGATGCACCATCCACCATATCATAACAAATAGACGCTTCACCCCCTCCCCTTTCTAGTAGTGGCGGTGATAAAGATGAGGGGATCGGGCGCTGCAGTGGAGAGGGCATGGTCGGGGGGCACAGATACGGCTGTGTTTGATGTGAAGGTCGCCAGCCCCTTGCTGGTGATGAGAGATCCTTGGCGGACGAGGCTGGCTCTTATTTAATAACATGAAGGGGAAGCGGACTTTTCTCTCATAATTAGGCCTAATTACGCAGTAGGTGTGGACAGACAGCCCAAGAAGAGACAAACTGCCTTTATCCACAGACTTAGAGTCGGATTACTCAGAGCTGTCTTATCTGTTTCAGGGCCAGCAGGAGCCTCAGTCTTCCTCGTTTGCTTCTTCCCACTGCCTCCTGTGTCCCGCTCAGGTATATTAACCAGTCAGCCTGATTTATTACGTCTGGGCCGTGACACGCAGCTTTAATTAGACCCGTTCATTACTCCGTTCTGTAAATGAGAGCACTTTTTATGTGAACTTGTCAGGTAAGAAGGGTGAGTGACAGAGATTTACTGCCCTTTTTTGGCCTTCGTTATCTGCGGCTCACTCTCTTCATTAGGCTCCTGATGCGCTTGTATTAAAACTAATCCCATACATTTTGGAGTGGCCCAGTTTCTTGCTGTGTGGGATCCACTGGAAAAGTTGCATCTACCAGATCTTTGGTTTTATGTGAGACATTTTAGTGTCCAGCTGCCTCCATCTGTTGACAAGGAAAACTTTCGGGGCTGTTGTGAGCAGGTTTGAGTGACACCTCGCCGCCGTTTTGTTTGTTTACTGTATCTGCGACTCTTTTCCTGAGCCGCCTGCGTGTTTGTGTTTGGGTTTGTGGGCGACTCACTCGCAGCCACAACAACAGAGCCATTGTTTGGGGGCAGTTTCAGTGAAAATGCTGACGCCTGGAAAAGAGTGGCAACGCTCCGCTGAGGAAGTCGTGGCTGGGGAAAGTGACTATTATATCCATCTTTTGGTTTGGGTTTTAGAGTCCTTGAGCAAACTGTGGGCTCCATCATGGCTCAGCTTTTTGTTGGTTTTTGATTGACAGTTAGCTGTGACTATCTGTAGAAGGTTTCTGCAGTTCCTGGTCTTTAGACAATGAGAACAACCAGTTTGACGCTGCTGTGCCTGTGACTCATAGCTTCACGCAGGCTTTGCTGCAAACATGACAATAAGAGATTCTTAATCCACCTGTTATCAGGATGAGCCTGCTCCTGTCACACACAACCGCAGCACGGTGGCTCAGGAATGCAGACTTACTCACCCTTTTTGCAGGAGGAGCAGCTCAACTGTTATTAGACCCTCACAAAACACTCGGAACATGTTGTTCCCCCACACAAATCAAGTTCATTTATTTTTAGACAGCTACCTGTGAATATCTATACAAGTTGTATATTTGGTGCAGCTAGTATTTCTGCATGGCCAGCCTTTGCTAAGATGAGTGCAGATACAAACATTTGCAGCTCCTTGATTTGCAGTCCCTGCCAAATGTCTCGTGAGGCCGATGTGCTGTGCGCGTTAATTAGGCAGGCCGGTCAGAGGTCTGTGTCTCTCCGCTTCACAGATTCACATGGACAATTTAACCACTAACCTCCTGAAAGGAGCTGCTTCTGAATGCCTCGGGCTCCAGTTTCAGAGTCTGCTGATTGCAGGGAGCAGGGGGTTATGATAAGTAAAAGTCGAGCAGGAGGAGAATGGCAGCAATGTGCAGTGAGTGTGAGGGTGAAGTCTTGTGTGCAGCTTTTTGGAAAGATTTTAATCTCAAGTATGGCTGCAACGATGGTTTCCAAAACTCTAGATACAGTATGTGCCTCCTAGATATGTAAGCACAAGCATGTGCTTGATTAGTTCTGCATAGATTAAAAACAAATTTAGACATATTTATGCATCAGGCCTGCACATCATTTTAATTGAGTTGTCAGGTTTCAAACATTTAGGATTTTTGCTTCTGTTCTATGAGTTTTGTCCCAATTGTATTTTCCAAAAGTGGTTGTTTAGAGCAGGAATGAGCAGTCAGTATTTTACATGCAGCAGGCAGTGGTCAGAATAATCTCAGTTTAGACCAGGGGTTTGCAAACAGACGCTCTTCAAACCCTCTGTATAAGTTTTCCTATGAGGAAAATCAGAATACTTGCTAAGAGCAGCCACAGTCAATAACAACTACTTGCATGTGAAGATGCAAGTCAGTTTCATGAAGAAGTATCATTTCCTCGCGGCATACCTGCGGTCGGTTTGGTTTCCTCAGCTTCCCAGCCTACAAACGACATAAAAGCTGGAGCTTTTACCTTCGCCTCTGGGACAACGGCTGTTGATCGCAAGAGGAGTGACAAGCCCGAATCTCTGTCTGTTTACTGTAATTAAGCTGTCGAGGCTTGTGATTTATGACGTATTGAGTAAGAGAGGTGTTATCACTGAGTAAAAGGAGGAAGACGGAGTGAGAGAAAGCCACAGGGTTTTTGTAGCTACTAGCAGAAGAGGAAATGCAGACGGTGCAGAACACGTCTGTCTCCTGTGTGGAACAGAAAAGCTAGAAGGCAAAAGGAGCTTTTCTTCGACTGCCGCTGCTCAGTGTTTGTGCAAAAACAAGAGCAGTTTTTTTTATAATTAGACCTGATATTATGATGTTAGACCAGTTTCATATCTCTCTGACAGAGTGCACTTAACCTTCATAAAGTGAAATATTCAGCCCTCCAGATGCTCAGCCTCATGAATAGTATTTGGCAGAAATTCACTTCTTTGTGTTACATTTATAATGTAATCAAAATAAGTTTCTCCTGCAGCTTATCTGGCGGTGATGGTTGCCAGCATCCTCACATCTGCACGTTGATTTAATATCTATGTCCCGCCCTGCTCCAACACCCATTTACACTCTGAGGGGGGCTGGGAGCGCCCTCAACACCCTCCACTTCAGATGCAATGGAGAGGACACACCTCTGCTGTTCTCAGGGTAAGTTCATCAGTACTTTAGTTCATTCCTAAACAAAATCATTTCTTTTTTTGTCGTGTGTGTTGTGAAGACTGCTGGTCAGGCTCAGTTTAACACAAAGAGACTGGAAACTCTCAAAAACAGTTTTTTCAAACGTTGGACAAATGATTTCAGTAATATTTTGGTATTTTTCAATTTGGACAAATAGATATTATCCTGTTTGATTCTTTACTGTGCAGCTGTCACACAGAACAGAGTTGAGGAATGCATAAAGAGTGAAGACCTTCAACGGTTTTGCAGGTCTGAAAAGGGTGCCATCCACATCTGGAACCTGAACAGCAGGAGGACAGTGGAGGTTGTAGAGGCTCATTCTGGTAGTTCAGTGATCTGGGTCAGCACGCTGCAGTCGGCAGGTTCTCTCCTCAGGTGAGCGTCTCTCATAGGATGTTTTATGGTCCTGGTGCATTAAATGCATCTGCAGTCACAGGCAGCTTTTCCTCCCTGTGTGATTTTTAACTTCTGTCAGTGACAATTTTCTCATACTCTGACTTCAGACGTTACTTCACTGACATTTTCATGTGCATTGTCTGTGTTTTTTGGGAACATACACTCAGTGCTGATGATGGAACACAGGACACCACAGGTGCAGCTGGGACCCAGAACATAACAGTAGCAGAAAAGTTGCTGTGGTTACAACAGACTGCTGCACAAAGAGCTACACACTCGCTCTTTGATAGAATATACAGTGCCTTGTGAAAGTATTCGGCCCCTTGAACTTTTCAACCTTTTGCCACATTTCAGGCTTCAAACATAAAGATATAAAATTGTAATTTTTTGTGAAGAATCAACAACAAGTGGGACACAATCGTGAAGTGGAATGAAATTTATTGGATGTGTCAAACTTTTTTAACAAATAAAAAACTGAAGAGTGGGGTGTGCAATAGTATTGGGCCCCTTTACTTTCAGAGCAGCAAACTCACTCCAGAAGTTCAGTGAGGATCTATGAATGATCCAATGTTGTCCAAATGACTGATGATGATAAATAGAATCCACCTGTGTGTAATCAAGTCTCCGTATAAATGCACCTGCTCTGTGATAGTCTCAGGGTTCTGTTCAAAACGCCGAGAGCATCATGAAGACCAAGGAACACACCAGGCAGGTCCGAGATACTGTTGTGGAGAAGTTTAAAGCTGGATTTGGATACAAAAAGATTTCCCAAGCTTTAAACATCCCAAGGAGCATTGTGCAAGCAATCATATTGAAATGGAAGGAGTATCAGACCACTGCAAATCTACCAAGACCCGACCGTCCCTCTAAACTTTCATCTGGAACAAGGAGAAGACTGATCAGAGATGCAGCCAAGAGGCCCATGATCACTCTGGATGAACTGCAGAGATCTACAGCTGAGGTGGGAGAGTCTGTCCATAGGACAACAATCAGTCATACACTGCACAAATCTGGCCTTTATGGAAGAGTGGCAAGAAGAAAGCCATTTCTCAAAGATATCCATAAAAAGTGTTGTTTAAAGTTTGTCACAAGCACCTGGAAGACACACCAAACATGTGGAAGAAGGTGCTCTGGTCACATGAAACCAAAATCCAACTGTTTGGCCACAATGCAAAATGATATGTTTGGCATAAAAGCAACACAGCTCATCACCCTGAACACACCATCCCCACTGTCAAACATGGTGGTGGCAGCATCATGGTTTGGGCCTGCTTTTCATCAGCAGGGACAGGGAAGATGGTCAGAATTGATGAGAAGATGGATGGAGCCAAATACAGGACCATTCTGGAAGAAAACCTGTTAGAGTCTGCAAGAGACCTGAGACTGGGACGGAGATTTATCTTCCAACAAGACAATGATCCAAAACATAAAGACACATCTACAATGGAATGGTTCACAAATAAACGTATCCAGGTGTTGGAATGGCCAAGTCAAAGTCCAGACCTGAATCCAATCGAGAATCTGTGGAAAGAGCTGAAGACTGCTGTTCACAAACGCTCTCCATCCAACCTCACTGAGCTCGAGCTGTTTTGCAAGAAAGAATGAGCAGAATTTCAGTCTCTCCATGTGTAAAACTGATAGAGACAAACCCCAAGAGACTTGCAGCTGGAACTGCAGCAAAAGGCGGAGCTACAAAGTATTAACGCAAGGGGGCCGAATAATATTGCACCCCCCACTTTTCAGTTTTTTATTTGTTAAAAAAGTTTGACACATCCAATAAATTTCATTCCACTTCACGATTGTGTCCCACTTGTTGTTGATTCTTCACAAAAGATGAAAATTTTATATCTTTATGTTTGAAGCCTGAAATGTGGCAAAAGGTTGAAAAGTTCAAGGGGGCCGAATACTTTCACAAGGCACTGTATACACACCTCGTATGAGCCAAACTTGTGTGTAGCGCTGGGCAATATGGTCTAAAATCAATATCACAATATATTGAGCAGTTCACCTCGATAACGATAAATGGATGATAACTGCAACCCCCCACCCCCAAAAATAATGTGATAGGCCGGCATGAATAATTTACAGCCAGTTATATTGATGGCATAATTCCCTTTTTACTACCACTTTAATTAACTTTAAAACTACAGCTTCTGCAAATAAATGAAGAAAATGTGTACTTTTAGTTGTTAATATTTTTTGAACAAATAAGCACAACTGAACAAATTTAGAAATAAAAAATAACTTTCCTGTAAACACAAAGTATTAAAAATACAATCTCTTATAAATGAAATGG